TCTTTAAAGTATATATAACGGAATCAAACTTGTAACTTTGAGCTACGTTTGATAGTTTCTCATGTGCTTACTACACACAAAAATTGGTCAACTTTACTTTTACTGAGTATTATGAAGGACTTACATTATAAAATGTTAATGTCTCATTACTCCTTTTTTGTTTTGTTACAGAATACTTTGGATGGTACCATTATATGCTACAAATGCTGTAAGTTTTTTTTACATATTTTGGTTATTTAGACTGTGAAGACATGTTTTATTAATCTTTAAGTTCTTACTTAACCACATTAGCGATGATGACAAATTGTTTTACAGTGGCTTGGCATGATTATACCAGCACAGTCAATATATTTTGATAGTTTACGAGAGTGCTATGAAGCTTATGTGATTTACAATTTTATGAAGTTTCTTTTCAATTACTTAAATGAGGAGGAAGTTAATTTTGTGTCAAACCTGGAACTGAAACCACAAACAAAACACTTCTTTCCGCTGTGTTGCCTTCCTACCTGGGAAATGGGCAGGTATAATACTCTCCTGTGAAACTCATTTATTGTTAGATTATTATTTTCCTAAACATGTGGTTTAATGTTATCAGGGAGCTAGTACACAATTGTAAGCATGGAATTCTACAGTACGCAGTTGTGCGTCCTGTGACCACTGCTATTTCTTTGTAAGTGTTGCTCTGACCATGCTGACAATGAACTACTATACTCTTAATTTAACAATCTTACTCTTATTTTTTATACTCTCCTTTAGTATCTGTGAACTTGCTGATGTTTACAAAGAAGGCGAATTTAAAGGAAACTCAGCATTCCCCTACATGATAGCAGTAAATAACTTTTCTCAGTTTATAGCCATGTACTGTTTGGTTTTATTTTACAAAGCCAACAAAGAGGAATTATCGCCTATGAAGCCCATAGGAAAATTTCTGTGTATAAAAGCTGTTGTGTTCTTCTCCTTTTTGTAAGTTTAAATTCAAGAATAACTGTTTTCATTAATTTGTTTTTGTTTTTATTAATGATGTTTAGTAATTGTTATTCTTTGAATCATTTTCAGCCAAGGAGTCATTATATCTCTGTTGGTATACACAGGTGTCATATCGTCAGTTTTTGGCACAGAAGATCAATCTGACGTGAAAGACATATCTTCCCGGCTACAGGTTAGTTATAAGTTTCAGTTCAATTTGTACTATTGCAAGGGTTGTGTCACGTTTGGTGCTCTAAAGTAATGAAAATCTTCGTTACAGGACTTTTTAATCTGTATTGAAATGTTCCTAGCAGCAGTTGCTCACCATTACAGTTTTTCATACAAACCTTATGTGAATGATGCTGCTGAGCACAAGTCATGCTGTGATGCTTTCTTAGCTATGTGGGATTTGTCTGATGTTCATTCAGATGTAAAGGAACACATTGGTGTTGTTGGTAAGTGGCAATAAATCAAATTTGTAGTTGGTTTCATTTTTGTGCTTGGTCGATTAGTGGTGTTTTTTTCCTTATACTTGTTTTGCTGATAACACATAACAGAGACTTGCTTCAAAAGCATGTCATAATTGTAGACTAAATATTTTTTGGTGTAGGAATTTTTCCTCTTCTTTCCAAAATGCATGAATTAAGTACAGTTGCATTGTAATTTTAAGAATTTTTATTATGTAGCGGACCGAAAACACAAGCCAGTCTTGACCACAGCTAATTTTGCTAATGCTTTCTTCTTGCTTGCACTGCCCCCTCTCTCACCCTGCTCACATTCAGGTCAAACCTTGGGGCGGCATATTGGTGTTCGAGGTTTCTACAAGCAAGAATCTTCAAGTGCAGATGAACGGTCATACCTCCTGCTGGCCCCTTTGAATCCCCTCTCTGATGATGAAGGGTATGGTTGCGGGAAAGATCAAATTTAATCACTCTGGAACTCATGCTCTCACTCCTCATTCACCCACTCACTCATCCACCATTTGTTTCACCTTAAGTTATTTCCTGTCAATATTTTTACTTCACATCATGTGCTAACAGTCTTACCCAGCTTGCCTATAACAGTTACATAGAACTACTTTTTTTAAATTATCTATTTATTAATCTGACTACTGTCTAAATTTTGTTCTGAAGCTTGACATGGCATGCTTTTTATGCTTTATTTCCACATTTATTTATTTCAAATTGATTGATCCCTTTTTAAAGTGCATAATGACACATACTTTAGTAATTTTTCAGTTGTGATCAACATTCTATCGGTTTTCATTGTGCATTTGCTTATTCCTACAGGGAGCAGCCTTAGCCGTCATATTCGAGGAAGAGGAATGTACAAGTCACCAAGTGAGGGTACTCGACTTTTGATGCCTGTGGAAGTAGACTATGCTCCAGAAGCAACAGAAAATGTTGTTTATCAGAGTGCTCCAGGAAGACTCAACGCACTTACTCCATATCAAAATTACAGCAGCTTTGGGGACAGTCAAGAAAGTGGTTCTATAAGTGGCACTAGTTCAGTAACAAGTCACAATGAAACATCTTCTGCTCTCAGTCCAGTCTCCAGAGAAGTAACAACACCAGAGGTAGATATCCTCGTTGACTTCACAGATTTGTCACCAGATGCGGAAAAAATGTACCCTGCTCCATCTTACCCCCAGAGTACTGAGAAAAAGTAAGGAATGTTTGAATTCCTTTGTAATATTTCATGATTGCAGCTGCTTTTTATGTTGGTTGTTTCTCGACCAATGTTGATGTTATTTTGTAACACCTGTTTTCAAACAGCATATAAACAAGGCATTCTGTGATACATTAAATTGTGTTAATTGCGGACTAAATTGAAATATTTTTGTACATTTGAGATACAAGTAAATTAGTCATGTTCTAAATTTCTGTGTTTTGTGACAACAGGATTTTGAGCAGTGCTATGTTTGAGCAATGAATATCCCCATTCTTGAGCCTCAATTGACCAGAATTGTAATTTTTTAATGCTTGAATTTTATAAAAGAATCGAGAATATTACCGTTTACAGTAATATGTTAAAAATATTTCTAATGAACAGTATCAGGGGTATACCTCTACTTTTAGTTACATGATTAAAGAGCTAATTAGTTCTTTTTAATAGAGAGTTTGAGTATTATGACTTGAGCATTATATTTTATGTTATTTAATCCTTTATGTTCATAGATGTAATTTAACTGTGACTTAAATGCTGTGATTGAATTACTCTTTTTTACACTGTTGGCATAGTTACACTAAGCAAGTGCAACTGATGTCCTATGGAAATATTTTCCTCATGAATGTAGGAAAGTAACTAGACAGCAGATCTTTAAAACTGTGTGGTTTTGTATTTTATAAATAAAATTTTTATGGAGAGATATGTGTAGAAAATGTAGAGTACATTCTTCTTGATACCTTTTTATTGAACTTCCTCATCTCAGGTCTTTTAAAGCAATGTATGTGCAATGCCCAATCCGTGCCTTGCAGAATTGTTTTCCATTAATGTAGGTAGATTTTTGTTGTTGTTCTTTAGGCAAAAGAGTGAACCTAGTTATTTTAATGTCAGTTACGGTCTAATCATTCCACATGTACGTATCTTTTAAGCAAAGCCTAAAGGTAGAGAAATCAACTCATATCTGTTGTAAAAAAAAAATTTCCTTTCAAGTGTCTCTTATTAAGTTATTCAAATAAGTAGGGACACTGTAATAAAATTCTCTTTTGATATACTATCTACCTACTTATGTTTATTTGTTGAAGGTAAATTTGTTGTAAACAGGAGCTCTGTGATTGAGTTACTTCCCTTTTTGAAATGACCTGCTTAATTTGTACTTTGGTGTGTATTGTATAGATGCTCCTCAAACCTTATCCCAATATTTGCCATCTATGTAATTAGTGATTGGCATTCTACAGGCTCTTGTCTTGAAGTGTTACGTAGAGTTGTACTGATTGTGATATCCCATTTCATCGGATTAAACTAGTCTTTTAACTACATTGGAATCTGTTTCTTTTCCCCCCTCATATTCTATCGATTTTACAGAAATACAAGGTGTCAGATGGACCCCAATCCTTCCCTTAACTAGACCCACAACAGGGAGCTCGAATTGCTTCATATCGCTCAGGCTCTTCGGGGGGTCTGCGCGTCTGCCTACCGGTCTACTTACTACGATAATGCATTGGGTCTGGGTCCTTCCCGTGAAACATCTCCCCTTAAAAATTGGCAAAGCGAAATTAAATTTCAC